GTACTGGGATAGAACTCAGGACCCTGTGCTTGCAAGGCAGGCGGCAGCACCACTGAGCTAAATCCCCAGCCCACTAATTCCTGTTCAATACATGAAATAATCTTGTTCAATATATAAGTAATAATGTAATGATCTTAAATATTCACAAAGTACATAGCTTTAGATAATGGATCACAAATTTATAATCCAGAGAAGATACTTAGGAAATTCAGGCCTATGTCGGCATGGTGGCACATGCCTGTGTTCCCAGCATTCTGGGCGGCTGAGGCAAGAGGCCTGCAAGTTCAAGCCTAGGCAATTTAGTGACTTAGCAAGACCCTGCCCTAAAAAAGGCTAGTGTAGCTCAGTGACAAGGCCCTGGATTCAGTCTCTAGTACCACCCAAAAAAAAAAAAAATGGATGAGAAAGAAAAAAATTCAGAAGAAATATTTCACAATGCACTTATATGTAAAAAATAACACCAGTTCTTGTTTTGTTTTGTCTTTATCACAAATATACACTGAAGTGTTTATGAGTAAAATGACATAGTATCTAGAATTTTCTTCAAAGTACGTTAGTCTCCTAGCCAGGTGTGGGGGTGCGTGACTGTAATCCTAGCAATAGGAAGACCGAGGCAGGAGGAAAAAAATAATCAGTCTCCTAACCCTATGGCACCCCCAAAAAGGGTTAGAGAGGGGGCCGGGGATTTAGCTCAGTGGTTCTGCCACCTTCCTCGAAAGCGCAAGGACCAGAGTTCGATTCCCGGTACCAAAAAAAAAAGGGCTTGGGGACAGTTACAGCTGGGACGGACAGACGGACGGACGGATGGGGACACACACACACACACACACACACACACACACGACTGCTCCCTCACCATCACTGCTACTCCATCTACTATGTAAGAGTGGGCCTATTGGGTACACTGGGCCTTTTTAAAAGTATGACTCATCTAAGAGCACAAAAAAAGAATGTCCCACATAACATACCTTCAAAATAATGGAAAAACTGCCTGAGGAAAATCTGTGAACTAGTGTATCGCTAATGTGCAGTTTTACTACAGTTTATACAAAGATTTTGATTTGTTAGAATAGGATGCATTTAACAAACTGAGTATAAACTGAAATTACCTATAGGTAAACACAAATACTTTAAATTAAATTCTGTAGGTGAATTACTACGTAACTTTGAACCACACTAGAGAAACTTTAAATATCTGAATTTAAGGGACTGGGGATATATAGCTCAGTGCTATAGTGCTTAGCATGAGCAAGGTTCTGAGTTTAATCCACAGCACCCATAAAATTTTTTTTTCTTTTGAACATAATACTTAACCTAACACTCTGGACGTGGTGGGACATGCCTAATCCCAGCATTCAGGAGGCTGAGACAGGAGGACTGCTGCAAGTTTGAGGCCAGCCTAGGATACATAGTGAGTCCAAAGCCAGCCTGAACCACACAATGAGACCCTGTCTCAAAAAAAAAAAAACAAAAAAACTTGGGCCAGGGAGGTGCCCTTGCCCGAGTTTGATTCCCGGTACCAAAAAAAAAAAGACTTAACGTAATACTACATATTCACATTGTGTTAGTTATTTTTCTCATTGCAGAGACAAAATACCTGACGCCCAAAGTTAAAGAAGGAAAAGGGTTATTTAGCTCACAGCTTGTAGAGGTTTCAGTCCATGATTGGCTGGCTCCAAGGCAGGGTGGCATGAGAGAGGAGAAACAGTTCATGGCAGGCAGAAGGTAGCAAAGCAACTAGGGATGACTTTTCTTCCTATCACTTATATCTTATCCAGGCTACTTAGGGTGGGTAGTACTCACACCCTTAATCCTAAAGCCCTTGATCCCACCATTGCACCATGAATCAATCCTAGTGTCACATACTCTAGATCCAGCCACCTCTGAAAAAGCCCCACCTATGACTACATGAGGCTTTAGGGGACAGCTAGGAATAAGCCATAACACACATGCTGTTTCTAAAATAAAAATGTAGTTTGCTATCTTTTTCTTTTTTCTTTTCTTTTTTTTTTTGGTGGTAAACCACACTGAGCTACATCCTCAACCTGTTTTGTTTTGTTTTGTTTTTGGTACCACGGATGGAACTCAGGTCCTTGCGCTTGCACAGCAGGCAGTGAAACCACTGAGCTAAATCCCTGCCCCTGTTTTGTTTTTTTTAAATAAGACAGCATCTCACTAAATCACTAAACTACCCAGGGTGGCCTTGCAATCCTCCTGTCTCCATTCCCAGAGTGCTGGGACTATAGGCATGTACCATATCATGCTACTTACTACCTTTTAAATACTAATACACTGCTGGGCACACCTGTGAGCTCACCACTTGGGAGGCTAAGGTAGGAGGACCAACCACTGAGTTCGAGGCCAGCCTGGGCTACATATTGTGACCCTTTCTCAAAAAAAAAAAAAACCACAAATAAATAAACAAATAAAATAAAAACTCAACATTCTCTACCCTTTCATGATTCTAATAGCAAGTATACAGAGAACAACCTTCCTTGACTCTGTACCTAAAAGGATTAAGGAAAAACTTAGGGCTACTTCTCTATTAAATGCTCTTACTTACTAAACAGCAAACACAAAACATATCCCATATATTTCTCTTCAAATATGACTAGTTTACTTTATACATTATGGACTTTCAAATATAAATCAATCAATTCTCAAACTAAGTGAAATTTCCTCCTGCTTTAATAACTTCATCTCCTGAAGAATAAATGCAGGTATTCATGATCCTCTTCTTTCAATACTTCTGTGTATAAAACTAGAGGAATAGCTGGGCCTAGTGGTACATGCATATAATCCCAGCACTCTGGGATGCTGGTTTAGGAGGATTTTTTTCCCCCAGTGCTGGGGAGTGAACCCAGGGCTTTGCACATGGTAGGTGAGGGCTCTACCAGTGAACTACAGCCCCAGTCCAAGACCCTGTCTCAAAATGCAAAATAAAAAGGTCTGAGGATATAGCTCAGTGTGAAGAAGGTCCTGGGTTCAATCCCCAGTACTATCCTCCCCAAAAAGTACTCACTAATTTAAGCAGACTCCAAAATTACACAAACTGAAGTTATTTATGGAAAGACACAAGCCTCCATACACTTCTACTTCCATCACAAAGGATCATTCCTTCTGATAAGTGGAGGCTTCCAAATGTCCATCAAGCACAAGAACAGACAGGAATAGCCTCAATGGGTCATTTTTGGCCACTTTATTAACATCCTGTTCCTGCCACCATCCACTGTTTGGTCACCAGTACTAGGATCCCAGTTTGAGAAAATAATATATATTATATACCCTCAAAGACCAAATAGGCATTCGCACTGGGGAGGCTGAGGCAGGAGGATCCAAGGGGAGTCTGAGACCAGCCTGGGGAAACATAGTGAGTTCAAGGCCAGCCTGGACTAATAGCAACACCCTGTCTCAAAAAAACAAAACAAAACAAAAAGACCAAATACAAAATTCTAAAAAGTTTTATACAGTTAATATCTTAGCAGTACTCCACTATAGGACTAGCTGAAGAAGGGATTATCCTTCTAGTTTTCAAACTGCAGTGGGCCGGGGATTTAGTTCAGTGGTTTTGCCGTCTGCTGAGCAAGCGCAAGGACCTGAGTTCGATCCCCGGCACCAAACAAAACAAAACAAAACAAACTGCACAAAAGTCAGGTAAGATCCTACATTTCTGGTGGCTCTGGAAACTTTCTCCTGATTATGTAGTGTGTCTTTTCCTTTTCTGAATTACTTTTGAATATAATAAAGAGTAAACAGGGCTGGGGATTTAGCTCAGTGGTTCTGGCACCTGCCCTGCAAATGCAAGGACCCAAGTTTGATCCCCGGTACCAAAAAAAAAAAAAAAAAAATTTAAAAGAAGAAAAGATTAAAAAAAAAAAAGAGTAAACATCACAGTGGGATTATGGGGGAAACTGCCAAGAACAGCAAATTTCTACAAAGCAGTGGTCTTCCTGTGGCCAATTCAGATGATACAATATTCGAAATGAAATTATATCGAACAGCAACAGCTTCATTCTACTTGTTAACCTTTGGAATCCTACAGACCTACACCTCTGAAAACTCTAAAAAAAAGTATTCCTACCAGATTGGCTCCCAAACGTTAAGTGACAGCTGTCAAATACATATTAAGTCTGTACCGCTAAATCCAGAAAAAGGAATTACTAATGCCTCTTAAGAGAATCACACTAAGCAGCAACAAACCTAAATCTCACTAAGAGATACTGTTAAAATTACATTCAGACCTCAGGCCCCACACCCAATCACACTGTACGGTGTATGTATTATTACAGCTTCAAATCCTGCCCCAACTTTTCAAGCTTTAGAGTTCTAAGTCACTTGGAGAAATAGCTTGAAAATGAGGTCCACTACCAACTGACCAAAGGAAGTGAAGAAAAAAAAAGCATACGTTCCTTTCCGCACCGGGCACGTAACAAGGATTTGTGAATTACGAAAGAATGGGGAGCAAAAACAATAAATTCTGCTACTGACTACAATGAGCACCAGAACAGAGCCCGAGTTATCAACCTAACCAAACATTACCTACGTGCTAATCAACAGTGGGCCGGTCTTTAACAGTTTAAGTATGCCAACCACTTTTCATGTTTCAATGTATTGCTACAAATTCTCCAGGTCAAAACTGACCATAAAAATCCTAAACTGGTTTTCGGAGAGGAACCACTCTGCGTAGAGCATCACACACAAAAGAAGAGCAAAAAGAAACACTCTCTGGGCCTTGGCGGATAGCGGCCAGGAGCCGAGGTCTTCATTCCAGACCCCCCGCAACTAGAAGACGAAAAAAGGGCTCCGGATGGGGGTGGGGAAAGGGTGGGGGTGGGGTCTCCCTCCTCTACTGCTCCGGCAGGGAGGGGCAAGGAGAGAAAGGAGCGAGCGCAGCAGAGGAAGCAAGGGAAGTGGAGGACCAGCATCCCCGGCTTCCAGGCCAGCGACACCCTCGGGCCCGCGCCAGGCCTGGCCCTCCCGGCCCCGTTGCGTCTCCTCACCTCCCTCACGTCCTGCAGGCACTCGAGCACCGCCAGGTTGTTGCTCCAGGTGTGCTTGGGGCACACCCGGGTCACGTCCTCCCTGCAGGACTCTTCCTCCGCCAGCTTCCAGCTCCCACCAGCCCCGCCGGGCCCCGCTCCGCCCCGCCGGGCCGAAGGCCCACCCGCTGGGAAAGGCGGTTGCGGAGGCTGAGGAGGCTGCTGTTGTTGCTGTTGTTGCTGTTGTTGTTGCTGCTGCTGTTGTTGCTGAAACTGCAATGACTGAGGTACCTGGGGCTGCTGCTGACCCACTGGGCCACCGCCTCCAGCCTGCCCGACAAAAGGAACAAAGTTGGCCCCTGCACCCTGCCCCTGGCTGTGGCTGCCCTGACCCAGGAATTTCTGGGCCCCGACAGCCGCGAGCAGCAGCACTAGCTGCAGCACCGCCGACGAGCGGAACAGTCTCAGTACACGTCCACACGCCGCCATCTTGGTTCCGCTGCGAGCTCGACGCACCCGCCGCGTATTTAAATGAGGGGGCGGGGCCAGCGGGGCGCCCGCCGAGCCCCTCCCCGGCCGGTGACGACCCGAAAGCCACCGGTAGTGCGTGGAAGGAGGTCATGCAGTCGGGCACGAAAAGAGCCAAACCCTGAACCTGTGGGGGAGGAAAGCGGAGCTCCCTATCCTGGAAGTTGTCGAGGCGTCTTAGAAAACCTCAGCAGGGACAGAATGGTCTAACTCCCTTGGTTGTCGTCACAGAAAAAAAATCCAAACGAGTTGGGGTTGCCACAATCAAGATGGCCGGTAGAATATGTCGACGGTTCAATGACTTGCGGGGGCGGAAGGGGGGAAACTTTTGTGTGTGCAGGTAAATTTAGAGATGCTGTATGTCTGCCTCCATCCTTCCACTTGCCTCCAAAGTCTTTCTTATCTACAAAGCAGGGAGCCCTTCAATAAAGTTAAGAGAAAATAAATAAATAAATAAAATTTAAAAAATAAAGTTAAGAGGACAGGTCATGATCCTTGCTAGGCAAGCAAGGGTTGACAGACTAGGCAAGAGCATTTCCACTGGAAAACTAAATTATGAAAATTGGAGGGCCGGGATTTAGCTCAGTGGTTCCGGCGCCTGCCTTGAAAGCCCAAGGTCCCGAGTTCGATCCCCAGTACCAAAAAAAAAAAAAAAAAAAAAAGAAAGAAAGAAAAAAAGTGCAAAACTGGCCATTAAGGACTCTGTGTCAGCGACCGTTTTTGCTGTCCTGCATGCAGCATACTCAGCAGCACCATGGCATCCCACGCTAATATCCCCTCTTGCTTAGGTGAGATGACAGATTCCCAAAGCCTCTTCACAGCCATTGTGTCACGTCAGCCATGCATTTGGGTTGGGTTAGATTTGAATCCAACTGAGGCACAGTACACAGATGTTAACCACCCTGCACAGGGGGATTATGCTGCCCAGAATGAATTCTGCCAACCTGTAGATAGCCTCCGCCCTGAATCCCTGGCTCTTCCCACTGCCCTGGTGCGCTTTTATCTCACTCTTCCAATGCCACATGTTGGAGAATAATGTCACCATGTTCAGTAATGCAGCTTCTGCTGTCCTGACCCACAGATGGGCAGTTAAGACCAGATCAGAAGCTGGGTGTGGTGGCACACAACGGTAGTCCCAGCACTCAGGAGGCTGAGGCAGGAGGAGCGAAGGGAGTTTGAGGTCAGTCTGGGCTACACAGTGAGTTCAAGGCCAGCCTAAACCACATAGGAAGACCCTGTGTCATGAAAACAACAACCACCCACCAAAGAAAAAAAAAAAAAGACTAGATAGCATATAACTAGGACCTAAAAAGTTGAGTACAGGCTTAGGGACAACAAAAGGAGCTTCTGCGAAAATATTCTATGGATGCAAATTGCCAGGTGGGAGTGATCCCAGGCTTCTGTCCGTAAGAATGAGAGTACATTGACATCACCACCATTCACCTTTGCTACTGCCACAAAACAATCCCAAGATAACACCCAACCTTGAACACTGATTAATGTAGCTGGGTGACCAAGTAAATGTAAGTGCTCAACAACAGACTGATGGCATAGATAATCTCAGACAGGCAGGTCAGAGAAATCACCAGAAGTCCTTGAGAAGTCACAAGGGTCATTCCTTTTCAATGCTAGGTCTGCATGCAGGCAGATAATAAGTAGGAGATAATTTTAAGACAGTTTAAGGCTACTAAAAATGAAGACATGGTCAGAGGAAACAACAGGGCCTACCTTTCATCATCCACTAAGGAAATCTGATATCGGACCACAGATTGCCTAGGGAGATAGGGAGAATGGTAAGCCTATCTTGAAATCATATTGACCAAAAAGGAAGAAATGGAGAAATCTGGGCTCTTGGCCAGCTCAGGCTTTGTTAGGCAAATCTAGACCTTACAGAAGTCATAATCCAGTAGATTGTGGTAGTGCGCACCTGTGATCTCAAAATTCTGGGAGGCTGAGACAGGAGGATTGAAAATTCAAACTCAACCGGAGCAATTTAGGGTGCTGCTGTCTCAAAAAAAATAGACAGGTGTGGTGGAGCATACCTGTAATTTCAGTGCTCTGGAGGCTGAGCCAAAAGGATTGCCACGAGTTCCAGGCTACCCTGGGCTACATAGTTCAAGGCCACCCTGAACTACCTAGCAAGACCCTGTCTGAAAAAAACAAAAATAAATAAATACAAGCTGTAGATGCAGCTCAGTGGAAAGGGTCTCTGGGTTCAAGCTCCAGTATTAGCAAAAAAAATTTTTTTTTTTTTGGTACCGGGGATCAAACTCGGGTCCTTGCACTTGGGAGGCAGGCACCAGAACCACTGAGCTAAATCCCCGGCCCACCAAAAGAATTTTTTTAACTCACAATTCCCCAAACCAATGGACAGATAGGTGACCTAACTTAGGTCTTCTGCCTCGTTGACTTGACCTTTCTTTCTTTCTCTCTTTTTCTTTCTTTCTTTCCTTCTTTCTTTTCTTTTTCTTTCTTTCTTTTCTTTCTTTCTTTCCTTTTTTTTCTTCTCTCTCTCTCTTTTTCTCTCTTTTTGTGTGTATGTATACTAGTGAGACAGGAGATTAGGGCATGGCAAACCTGGCTGGGGAAGTTAAGTGTGACTTGATAGTTAACAAAATCCCAGGACACATGCACAGAACAGTTTCCAAAGCCCTGCACATGGACTTCTCACAAGAACAGGCGCAGGTTTTCACAGGATGCCCTAGACCTGACGTCAGCCTGAGGAGCAGATGGTGCAAAAGCGACCGCCCACATTGAATTTTTGCCACTGTGTTCTCTCTCGTGTAGATGACCTGCCCTCATGCTGTAGGGCAGTGATAGCAAACCTTTCAGCAACTGAGTGCCCAAACTGTGACCCCAAACCCATTTATCTATAGCAAAGTGCAGACACTATAATTAAACCTGAGTTGTTCATCTGAGAAATGTCTGTTCATTTCAGATCCACATTTTTGGACTGGGTCTTTAAATTTGGGGGGTCTGGTATTTTTTAGTTCATTGTATATTCTAGATAGTACCCCTTTGTCTAAGGAACAGCTGGCAAAAAATTTTTCCCATATTGTGGGTTGTCTCTTCATTCTGTTGTGTTTTCTCTTGCTGTGCAAAATCTTTTTAATAAGATGAGATCCCACTTGTTGATTCTTGGTGATATTTCCTGTGCAATTGAGGTTTTATTCATAAAGTCTTTGCCTACATCAATGTCTTCAAGAGTTCTACCTATCCTATCATCCAGTAGATTTAGTGTTTCTGTTTTAATATTTAGATCTTTCATCCATTTTGATTTTAGTTTAATGCATGGTGAAAGCAAGGGCTCTAGTTTTAATCTTCGGCATACGGAAAGCCAGTTTTCCGAGCATCTTTTTTTTTTTTTTTTGGTACCGGGGATCGAACTCAGGTCCTTGCGCTTGCACAGCAGGCAGTGAAACCACTGAGCTAAATCCCCGGCCCCTCGAGGACGATTTATTAAAGAGGCTATCTTTCTTCCAGGGATGGTGTTTGGCTCCTTTGACTAAGATAAGGTGGCTGAGTATCTGGAGTTGTTTCTGCACCTTCTAGTCTGCTTCACTGATCCTTGGGTCTGTTTTTTGCCAGTACCATGCTGTTTTTATCATAGTAGCTTTATAGTATAATTTCAAGTCAGGGATTGTGATATGCCTTGCCTTGCCTTTGTTGCCCAGAATTGCCATGGCTATTCTAGGTCTCTTCTGATTCCATATGAATTTTAGGATTATTTCCTCTAATTCTGTGAGATATGCTATTGGTATTTTGACTGGGATTGCATTAAATCTGTATAACAATTTTGGAAGTATGACTATTTTCACTATATTTGTTCTTCCAACCCAAGAACAATAGATATCTTTCCATTTTCTGATACCCTCTTTGATCTCCTTTTTCAGAGTACTGTAGCTTTCAATGTGAAGGTCTTTTCTTGAGCATTTTTTTAATATTCCAAGCCTTGCTTAAGAACTGACTTATATGAGAGACAAACAATAAAACAACAACAAAAAAATTTCTTTTTGGTACTGGGGATCGAACTCGGGACCTTGCGCTTTCAAGGCAGGCGGCGGCACCACTGAGCTAAATCCTCACAACAAAAAATGTTTGAGACAGGGTGTAGCTAGGGTGTAGACAGGGTGAGACAGGGTGTATGTAGCCCAGGGTGGTCTTGAACTCTGGGAGATCTTCCTGCCTCGCCTCCTGGGATTATAGGCACGTGCCACCATGCCTGGCTTGCAGGAGCTTTTTATAAAGGCAGCTACAGAAGGGCTCTCTAAATGATAAGTAAGCATTAATAGGCATAAAATTTGTAACTATGGGCCAGGTGTGGTGGCCACCCCTATAATCCCTACTCCTTGGGAGAGTTCAAGGATAATTTATCAGGCCCTGTCTCAAAATAAAAATAAAACAGGCTGCAGGTAAAATAAAAATAAAGGGGGTGGTGCACACCTGTAATCCTAGCACTCTGGGAGGCTGAGGCAGGGGGATTGCCTCCAGTTTGAGGCCACCCTGGGCTACATAGTGAGTTCAAGGCCAGCCTGAACTACATAGTGAGATTCTGTTTAAAAAAAAAAAAAAAAAAGGCATAGTTTATAGGAAGAGAGCCCACACAGAACCCACTTGCTTTTCCCCTCTACTGAAGACTGAACCTGGGGAGCACTGAACTACACTCCTATCCCTTTTTTTTTCTCCTATCCCTTTTTATTTTTTGAGACAGGATCTTGTTAAATTGACCGGGGTGGTCTCAAACTCACAATCCTCCTGCCTCAGCCTCCAGAGTAGCTGGGATTACAAGGATAAGCCACCATACTCAGCTGGAAGTAGCAATGGTACCGGGGATTGAACTTGGCACCTTTCGCTTGTGAGGCAGACGCTGGAATCACTGAGCTATATCCCCGGCCCGTGGAAGTAACAATCTTATTGCCCTAGAAATAGACAAGCAGGCCTTCAGAGCCCCCAAAGTGTCTGAGATTTAAGGGCCAAAATACTGGGAAGAAGGAAGCCACAGAACAAGAGCCAAAATCTGTGAACAAATCTCCCTTGTCACTAGCTGACTTCTAAACTGCCTTCAATGGGTGAGACTCCAATAGCTGAGAGCAGCAGACCCAGAAGTGCCGGGGAAACAGACAGGGTTGAAACCCTGCTGAGGTGCAGGCGCCAAGGGTAAACACTCCAGGCTTTTCACTGAGGCCCAGCAGGGCTACACCCTTGGATCAAAGGCCAGAGCCCAGGAGGAAGAACAAGAGCTAGGAATGAGGACCTTGCCCTGGGAGAAAGAGCAAAACTAAAATAGAGCAAACCTTGTAAAGCCTAAAACCTACCCACAGGGATCAAAGTGAACCTCCAGTTCCCTGTCTACCTGAAGAAGACTGAGTCTTTTTTTCTTTTTCTTCAGGTATTGGTCGTTGAACCCCAGCCCTTTGTACTGAGCTACATTCCCAGCTCAGCCCTTATCTCCACTTTTAAATTTTGAGACAGGGTCTCTCTAAATCCCTAAATTCCCCAGGCTGGGATTGAATGTGCAACCCTCTTGCCTCAGCATACCAGAGTCCCGGGATTAGTCATGTACTGCCACAACCTACTAGTTTTCTCAAACTTAACTGTGCAGCTGAATCATCTGGAAGTTTTCAAAAATGTCTGATCAGGGCTGGGGATGAAGCTCAGTGGTAGAATACTGCCTAGCATGTGTAAGCACTGTTAAATCCCTAACACTACAAAAGAAAAGAAGTGTAGGGGCTGGGGATTTAGCTCAGTGGTTCCGCCACCTGCTTTGCAAGTGCAAGGTCCCGAGTTTAATCCCCGGTACCAAAAACAAATTAAAAGAAAAGAAAAGGGCTGGGGATTTAGCTCAGTGGTTCCGCCGCCTGCTTTGCAAGTGCAAGGACCCGAATTCGATCCCCAGTACCAAAAGAAAAGAAAAGAAGTGTGATTATAATATCCAGGAATATTCTTTTCTAACAACTAAACCTACAGATTCCTGCTGAGTGGTGTTGGCGCTTTTGCTCTATTTGCATGACATATTGGGGGGTCTATATTTTCGCAGGCAGCTCTTGGCTTTTGCCATATCCAAGACTTCAAGATCAAAGAGGTGACTACTTTAGCTCATGAAATTCTAACAATTTTACCCTAAGTATTTTTTCTTAATGACCTTTTCACAAAGCTCAACATTTCTGAATTTCCCTGGGAAAATGAACTCTCTGTTAACAGATCATTTTTATGTTCATTTATTCAGCAGGTTTTTAAAAAAAAATTTAAGGTTTTTTGAAGCTGATTTTTTTTTTTGGTACTGGGGATTGAACTTGGGTCCTTGTGCTTGCGCAGCAGGTGGCAAAACCGCTGAGCTAAATCCCTGGCCCTTTTTAGGTTTTTTGAAACAAGGTCTTGCTATGTAGTCCAGGCTGGCCAGAAATTCACAGTGGTCCTCCTGCCTCAGCCTCCTGAGTGCTGGGATCACAGGTATGCACTCCCGGCAGTGTCTGAATTCATCCTACCCTTCTCAGTGTGATTTTGTCATGTGTATCTACTAGTCAGAGGGGCAAGGGAGCATGGAGGCACCAAGACGGTCACCTGACTCTCCCCTGCTCCCAGCATGCAACAGCAGCCCCACCGCCTCCTGTGATCAGGGTTGGCAAATAGGGCCCATAGGGTTCCTCTGCTCACCTACTCATCTCTGGGCAAAAGGAGTCCACAGTCCCCTGGTGGTAGCCAAAACCTGTAGTTCAGTACAGGTTACTTTGCAAAAGTGTATTTTTTCCCCCCAGTATTGGGGGTTGAACTCCGGGCCTTTGCACTATTTTGAGACAAGGTGTTGCTAAGTTGCCCAGGCTGGGCTTCAACTTGTGATCCTCCCTCCTCAGCCTCCGAGTGATCGGATTAGAGGTATGCACTAATACACCCAGCTGTGTTCTGTAAGAACCTAGGACCATTAACCATGCAAGGCTCAGAATTGCCAAGATGGGAAGCACGGAATCACCTGCGTCCTTGGGGTGGAAGTAAGACCACGGCTGTTTCCCTCCCTTGGCTCCCAGACTCTTGTATTCTTCCCACTGGAGACATAGCCCCAAATAGGTATGTCTCTAATCTAACACTGCATCCCAAAGAATGTCACCCCATCCCTTTAGTGTTTTTTTTTTTTTTAGTACCAGGGATTGAACTCCGGACCTTGCGCTTGTGAGGCAGGTGGCGGAATCACTGAGCTAATTCCCTGGACCTTTTTAGTGTTCTTATCTAGTGCTTCAGCTGTTTTTTTTAAAAGACTGGGTCTTGCTATGTAGTGTTCCAGCTGGCTTTGAACACAAGGTTATATAGCCCAGGCTGGCCTCAAACTCTAGGTGACCCTCCTGCATCAGCCTTTCAAGTGCTGAGAGTTCACAGGCATGTGCCCCCACTCCCACTTAAACCCATTTTTTTTTTAAACCCATTTTCTTAGAACATTCCTGGCACTATGTGTGTTGGTCCAGCCATGGATCATGATGAAGATCCAATGCTGTGTGAAGGAGAAAGGGAAGGAAGAAGTGTTGGGTGTAAATGTCTAAGACTGAACTTAAACTGAAATTCAATTTTTTTTTTTTTGGTACCGGGGATCAAACTCGGGACCTTGCGCTTGCAAGGCAGGCGCCAGAACCACTGAGGTAAATCCCCAGCCCCGAAATTCAATTCTAAAAAGTTTGCCCAAGGCTATTAGGGAGTCCTCCCTCAAACAAAAGCTGAGTGTGGTAGAGCACTTTTGTAATCCCAGCACTCAGCAGGCTGAAGCAGGAGAATCACTGCCAAGTTTGAGAACATCCTTGGCTACACAGTTGAGCTGTAGGCCAGCCTGAAATACATAGAGACCCTATCTCAAAATAAAAAAAGGTCTGGGGATGTTGCTCAGAGAAGGCCTTGGATTCTATCCCCAGTACCTGGAGAGGGGAAAAAAACCTTTAAAGTGAAAACAAGAAACACCCTCCTAGACACCTTGAAATTATCCAGATAAGGCCCCTGAACTGTCACAGAATCTCAGTAACTGTCCTGGGCCTAGGGCCTAGACTCTAGACCAAGAATGTAGGACCCAGAGAGAATCCCTCAGCAGCGTTCTCATCTGTAAGCAGAGAACTGTGACTGGAGTTGATGTCCTCCCTGCTGCAGTAGTTTCATTTCTGTGGGGGTGGGGGCTTAAGCCGGGAAACCAGTCATTGCCTGGTAACGATGCAGTTGGGAGGCAGCCTGTGCCCACTAATGGTGTGGCTGAACTGCAGTCATGGCCAAGTGCAGACTTCCCCTGGGGTGTGAGCTCGGTGTCGGTTCACATGGCTTAGATTCTGCAGCTGTCTCTCTTCTACCACCCTTTCTCGTGTTAGGCCCTCATTCCTTCCATCTGCTCTCACGTACTGGAACATCTTTCTTCTTTCTGCGGTACTGGGAGTGAGAAGAGCCTTGACGCTGAGCTACATCCCCAGCTCTTTTTGAGTTAGGAAGTCAGGGTCTCACTATGTTGTCCAGGCTGGAGTCGAACTTATGATCTTCCTGCCTCAGCCTCCCACAGTGCTATGATTACCGTATGTGCCAACACACCCGGACTGAACCTGTTTCTTTTCATGAACTATTTAACATATTATGAAAGAGCTTTCTAAATTGTCAAAGGCAAAATAGCAGAGGTTGCTGCCGATAAACTGAAGTTACTTTTCAGAATTTCACTTACAGCCATTCACTGACATGGATAACAAAAGAGCACTGTGAAAAACAAGTTTTGGGTTTCCTAGCAATAGGAGTGATTTCTACCCCAGGACCTATCACTTTTCCACTTTCCTTTCCCGTGGAGCATAACAGTTTTACCTATGATCCCAGTCCTCTTGGAATCCAGTATGTTCCATTTGCTGTTTAGCTGGAAGACATTTTGGCCTTTCCAGCCTAATCCCAGAACACCATGATTTATAGCAACAGATTTCTGAACTCAAAATGAACAAAGAAACTGAGGCAAGCAGCCAGGACAGTGCTGAACAAGAACCCGGGAGCTCACACTTGCCTCCTGCTGCCACCACCTCAAAAGCGCTGCCAACAACTAAAAATGAAAGGGAAAAAGCCCTTTCCTCCCATATTTGAGTCTCCAGGATCCAAAGAAACAGCAAGAAGCCAGCAAGCAGGGGAGTCTGGGAAATGTAGAGCTCAGGATCTGGGAGTAAATGGCCACATGACCAGGACAAGGGGTTAAGAGGCAAACACTCAGTTCCTGTCAGCACCAGAACAGACTTGCCAACCAAAGCCTCAACTCCTTCATCGGTTTAAATAAAACATTTACTTCAGCTGCAGGGTCCACCATGTCAAACAGCCCAGCACTGGATGATACGGAGCAGTTCACGCCCTCTCCAGACACGTTTCTAGTTCTAATAGACAACGAGACAAAAGGCACCAGGTGCTGTTATTAAAAATGGCAAATTCTTTATTTTCATATTAACATCAAAAGACAAACATTAAAACACAGAACACAGATTGAAATCCTACGACCTATTTTCAAAGCGGGTGCAAGGACACACAATGACAGACTAGTTTGAACTTACTTAACTCCAAAACTTCAAATGGAAAACAATCCTGGAGGCAGGAATGAGGGAACTCGTGGGGCAGAGGCCCCGATATGCTCAGGAGAGCAGAGCCTGGGTCTGGACATAGCCTCCTCCAAGCGCGGTGGGCAGAGGCCAGGATGAGGTTTCCTTCTTCAGGGAAAACTATCAGTCAGCTGAATTTGAAAATTTGAGTTGGGGATGTAGCTCAGTGGTACGGCGAATGCATAGCACACATAGCACACATACGGCCTTAGGTTCCTGGAAGCCTCCACCCCAGACAAATGTATCAACTGGCAAGAGCTGACATTCACTTGCACCTTTGGGAGTGCGTTCCCCGGCTCCTCCTCTCAGGGGAGTCAACTGGCACCGCTGAGTTACTTCAGGGCAGACAAATCCTAATGCTGACCCGGCCCAGAGGTGACAAAGGCCGACACCTGGATCCTCTATGGCAATCTGCAGAAGCCACGTGAGTTTTGCTTCTTAATCCAAACCCCAGGGCCGGGGATTTAGGTCAGTGGTTCCGCTGCCTGCCTCGAAAGCACAAGGTCCCAAGTTCGATCCCCAGTACCCCCCCGCCAAAACACAAACCCCATTCTGCCAGGGAAACTCCAGGCCAGGGCAGCCATGATTCATCAACATAACAAAAGCAGTATCTCCTGAAAAAAGGGGGCTCTTCCCAGGTTGCAGCTTTTTTTTTTTTTTTGGTACGGGGGATCAAACTCGGGACCTTGTGCTTTCGAGGCAGGCATTGGAACAACTGAGCTAAATCCCCGGCCCAAGTTGCAGCTTTTTGTGATAGCTTCAAAAATAAAAAAATAAAAGGTATCCTAACATAGAAGGTTCCATTAAAAGGCACAGCCAGAACTTGAAGCTACAGGAGCTGGGCATGGTGGCGCACATCTGTAATCCTAGCACTTAGGATGAGGCTGAAGCAGGACGATCACCATGAGTTCAAGGCCAGCCTCAACTACATAGTGAGACCCTGTTTCAAAAAAAGTTGGCAATTTGGAGCTATGGGGAAATCTACCTTAATCCCCTGCTGGTAAGAAAGATTTTGGAAACAGCTGAGGAGTGGACAAGTCAGAACTGTTTCATAGAAGGCTCACACCTCGCTAACAATTATTTAAGAAATCATACTGTTAGCCATGCTGCTTCCAAGAACACTGACCTGTCCACACGGGAAGTGTGTCAGGGTGGTTCAGCACAGTAGCCAAAGGCAAAGCAAACACAGCCTGCGCCTGCCCTCTGCTGGAGAGAAGCGCAGCTCCTCCAGTTGGAGACAAGGACTGGAATGAGAGCTGGTGGTGCCTCCCTGCCGTCCACACAGTGCAACCACTGGTATCTTCCTGAGAATAACCACATTACCAATAACACTCAGAATTCTGAGGTTAGAGAGGTAAGCCAGGGGAAAGAGGAAGCAAACATCAATTCACAAGGGGAAACCATTACCTTGGAATTATAAACATGCTCAGTAACAGCTCCTCACAGAGGGGTTGCTTCTAGTTAGCGAATTTTCCAAAGTGAGAGACAAAGCCTATTCCATTCTCCACAGCAGCTTTCTGCTCCGTAGGCTTTCTTTTCTTTGTTTTTCTGAGACAGCAACTCACTGTAGTTCACACTGTCCACACCTGACTCAGCTTTCTTATTCAGTCCCTTGCTCCAGATATGATGGAAGACTCAAGTAGCTTTGACCTATTACTCATCTTTTCCTAGTAGGGGGAGAGAAGAGTAGTCTGTAAAGTACTGGCTTAGATAAAATCCGAGATCCTAGGCACGCTGGTTCACACAACTGGTCCCCTTCCTTAGCTCCTACAATGCAGTGAATCTTAGCACACACAGCATTAGCTGAGGCTTTGGCTCACCAGCCACCTTCATCACTGGATTTGCCAACACCCTACACCACTGCATGCCAGAACATGACTGCTGTTGCCACAAAGCACAAGAGGCACCCTACCACACACTTTCTTTTTTTTTTGATACTGGGGATTGAACTTGGGACCTTGAGCTTTCATGGCAGGCAGCAGAACCACTGACCTAAATCCCCGCCCCAATAAAGTGTTAAATTCTTTGTTTGTTTTTGTTTTGGTACTGGGGATCGAACTCAGGACCTTCTGTTTGTGAGGCAGGTGGTGGAACCACTGAGCTAAATTCCCAGCCCCCCTACCACACACTTCTGTGCAGATGAGGCAGTTACTAGGTCATAGGCCTTCAAGTTCCGAAATAAGATCACACCCTACACAGGCTTCTCCAGTGGCCTCTTGTGTTTAGTGGGAGACAGATTCTTCTGCATCAGGGCTGCATCAACCCAGGAAGGTTGGCCCCTTCCAAATGTATCAATTAGCCCAGCAAGGTGCTCAGGTGGGTGGTGGGTGTAAAATCACCCAGAAAACACTTGGTACACACTCAAATCCTACATGACTGCTGAGAGGACTCCCTTAGGTCCAGCAGAATATAGATTTCCAGCAAAGATTCACGAAGGCTTTTAACCCGAGAAAGCAATTACACAGATGAATAGCAGCAGTCATGTCTTCATGGATAGAGCAGATACACCTGCCTCATGACCACCCTAATCTAAAGGAGCCAGAAGTTCTCATTTGCAGGCACCAAGCAGGTATCTTGCTCAGGGGCAAAGAACACTGAAGGTCAACCTGCAGCAGGCCTGAGAGGTCACTCCCACTTATAGATGTGGACAATCTTCTCTGTTAAGGTGGCCAGGTAGCTGCTATGGTTCACATCAAACGGGCAGATGTCCAAGACAGGATGATCGGTCTGCAGGTCCTGCAGTAATGACGCACTGCCAGCATCCCACAGCTAAGGACAAGCGGAGAGCAAAGAAGGGTCAGCAGACAGTCCAGCTGGGGGACTTGCTCACCCTCATCAAACAACTGAGGAAAGAAGAGAATTGTTCAGGGAAAGGACTGACCCAAACCTTCACAAGGCTGCACAGTGCCCACACAGCCAACACAGGCCGGGACGGCCTTCCCCACCATAAGCAGCAATTAGTCTGCCTGGGAATACTCATTCCTTCCATCTGTGTGCCACGCAACCTTCTAGGTACTGGTCCTTCCAGGGACAGAGGGTCAATAAGACAAAGTTCCTGTCCCAATTGTTTCTCTGCCTTTCTCTATCCAAAGACAGTAAATCGAATGGACTTTTGCTTGTTTTGGGGTTTTTTGAGGCAGGGTCTTGCTACGTAGTTCAGGTTGGCCTTGAACTCACTATGTAGCCCAGGCTGGCCTCAAACTCACGGTGATCCTCGTGCCTCAGCTTCCCAAGTGCTGATTAAATGGACTTGTGAAGTTGGGAGATAGAATAGGAGCTTGCTCCACCCACTCCACAGATCAACCTGGTATTGCAGGAGGCTGAGGCAGGAGGATCACTGCAAACTTAAGGCCAGTATCTCCAGGAATGGTACCTCCACCAGGGGAAAATAAAGCTGGTGTTCAACTGAAAAAAAAATTCTTGGCCCAGTCCTCATGTAATCTACATTCTAAATAGTACTTTCTTTTCCTTTTTAAAAATCTAAAAAACACCTGCTGTCCTGAGAAATACTATATGGTAACATATGGCCATAATCCTACCACCCAGGAAGCTGAGGCAGGAGGATCCAAGTTAGAGGCCAGCCTGGAACACATAGCCTGTTTGAGGTCAGTCTGGATTACATAGTGAGACCCTGTCTCAAAAAACCCAAAAAGCAGAGAAAATGGCACAATGACCCCCCCCTTCATTCAACAATTATTAAGCCTTTACCCACACTTGGCTTATGAATCCTTTTTCCTTTGCTGATTTTATGTTATTTTACCCTCATACATACTTAAGTATGCAGCTCTTAAAAAAACATTTGAGATTATCTATTTGGGACCCCTCCAGTCTCTCAGGAACTATTCCCATTCCCCAATAAATTCTCCTACTCTAAAAAAAGGGACATTTGAGCCGGGCGTGGTGGTACATGCTTGTAATCTCCTTGGGAGCCTGAGGCAGGAGGATCACTCCATGTTCAAGGCCAGTCTGGGCTCCACAGTGAGTTCAACACCAGCATGAACTACACAGCCAAAACCCTGTTTCAAAAAACAAAATAAACAAAAAACCAAACCAAAACTCGCACTTACCAGGGCAGAATTTGATGCTTCATCGCCAGTACAGACCAGGATGCTGCCATCATTCTCTGGGCTTTGAAATATGGCACTTTTGGTCAACAGTTTGCAAGTGGGTCCCCCAAGGAATGTCTGCACAGGATGGCAGGAGCAGACTGGCTCTCCAGCGTCATCCAGATTATAGGACATCTGCATCAGCACACTTCGCATGGTGTTGTGGTTCTTATCTGTGGGACAGAGAAGCCAGCGCTGGCCCATGGGGATGATGCCTAGACAGTAACCGAGCACCTAAGCCCAGGACACACACAGAGCAGCTGGGTAGGAGAGTGTAAGTACATTAGACTACAAGAACAGCTGTGGAGCAAACAGTAACAGCACCAGTGAAATTCAGAAACCTCAGCTAGGACAAAGCGAATTACCTACAACAGGCTTTTGGCTATAAAAAGAAACGATTCTGAGGATGTACACCCATTTTAGGAAAATCACTGTATCCTGCCAGACTTCTGTGGAATTCATCTCTCAAGAGTTCTCGTTTTTTTCCCCTTCCCCCAGTGAACACCCCAGGACCATACACTCTTAGTAAAAGTATCCTATTCCAGAAGGAAAATCGTACCTGAGGTTCTGCTGGGAAGCACATAAAAGCTAAGAGAACAGAACAGAGTGGTATTGGGCATTAAGATGGGAAAGGCCCACCATATTGAGAACAATGTCTCTGAGCCTGTCAGGGTTCCTGTGAGAGGGACACCTGGTCGCAGGTCAGACCCTTGGGCATTAAGGCTGTCTTCCAGGATATGTGAAAAGTATATGGAGGGCCGGGGATTTAGCTCAGTGGTTTCGCCGCCTGCTGCGCAAGTGCAAGGACCTGAGTTCGATCCCTGGTACCAAAAAAAAAAACAAAAAGAAAAGCATATGGAACCAGCCAACACTAAATACCCACAGCCCCATTAGGGCAGGGCTACAGGTTATAGCCATTCTCCTGAGGACTCAAGACCAAAGGAAGAAAGGAAGAAAATCCACAACACTGACATCAGTGTGGTTCATCAGGAATTCAGGCTAGAAAGAACCTGTGAATTTAAGAAGAGGCTGGTCTAGGCCACATCTGGGCCTTCCTCTTGCATGAGGTGCGTGGCAGGCAGAAGGCATGAATGATCTGAAGGTGGCTCACAGCCTCCAGAGCAGCCCCCTCCCCCTCCGAGAGAGAGGCGAGCCTAGAGAGGCATCACCACCTGGGAGAACTGCGCCGTTCTCACAAAGGAAGCAACTAGCAAGAGCTGCAAGTCTGTCACCACAGCCACCCAAGGGGAGGGCTAAGCTCTCCCCTCCGCCAATCTGCTCTGGAACACCCCCGGAGGCCCCAGGGTCGCCCACTCACCAGGCCTGTGGGTTACCAGACAGTGTCGGGTGCTGCTCTCTGTCTGAAAGTCCACATAGCCCCCTGGCTCCAAGGGCAGCACGTGAGGCCAGTGTGAAAAGCCCATTTTCAGTTCCCAGAAGGAAGCATGCTCCAGGGTTCCAGCCAACAGCCCACCATATGGAAATGCAGCTGAGGCAGCTCTGGGCATGTATGACAGGGACACCAGAGGGCATCTGAGGACAAAAGGGAAACCGGGGTTTCACGTTCCACAGCCAACACTTCGACAGTGCCTGACCCTTCTGCCAGGACCCACATTCTTTTTTTTTTCTTGGTTTTTTTAAGGCAGGGTCTCCCTTTGTAGATCAGGCTGGCCCTGAACTCACTATGCAGCTTAGGCTGGCCTCGAACTCCTCTCGGTAATCCTTGTGCCTCAGGTCCCCCAGTGCTGGGATTACAGGGATGTGCCACCACACCTGGCTAGGAGCCCACATTCTTTTTTTTTTTTTCTTAAATTCTTTTATTGGTACACTTTAGGTCACATTCTTACTTCTAAGGAAGGGGTTAAACATCTGTGGTCAGCATGCCCTCACATCTAATAACTCTTAACCCTCTAGTAGGAAAAGGGCAATCTGCAAGATACCAGATACTTTAAAAGAAATGGAAAAAGCTATAGTAGAAAAAACCCACAATAAAAATGTAGCCTAGGCCGGGGATTTAGCTCAGTGGTTCTGCCACCTGCTCTGAAAGCACAAGGACCCAAGTTCGATCCCCGGTACCAAAAAAAAAAAAAATGTAGCCTCAACCAGTTACATTTTCCTACCTCAGCCTCCCAGGGTGCTGGGATTACAGGCTTGTGGCACCACACTCGGCGACATGGGTATTCCCGATACCAGAGCTTTCCACCCATGAAATACCATGAACACCATTCCTAAAGGTCTTCCCGATTCTGAAGTGAGACAGCTTCAGCTGGCCTTAGTGAGTTGCCCTCCTAGGGAACTGCTGGCCAACTGAGGACAACCCTGAGGACCGAGCCATTACAGTAACAATCTGAGAGAAAGCTGCTTACCGCACACGAGTGAGTAGCTCCTTACCTGGCTTTCTGAGGGACTAATTCCTGCACATGACAGCTTGTGTTTCGCAGGTCGTACACCAGAATTGACCCATTGGCCAGTCCAGCATAGACATAGTTGTTTTCATCGAGACACCAGCAACAGCTCCAGACAGGTCGCCCAGTATTGTAAGTCTGGACCACAGTATTTGTCTCCAGGCTGTAGAGTTACAAATTAACAGAATCAAATACATGACAAAGAGGCAACAATGATTATTTCATGATCAATAATGCTCTCTGAGAACACATCCACAAAGCCAAACCATCTGGGTTACTAATTTCCAAATTACCCCTTTAAGTTCCAAAACTTCTGTGTTTGGGGGCCACAGGCTTTCCTCTTGAGCTATGCAGCAATTAAAGAATAAGCGGAAAGAACATACTGCCCACTCTTCTCCTACTGCCTTTACCACAGCTGCCTAGCACACAAATAACCTGTAAGCAATGCAGGAAAACTAGAAATTCCATGTAAGAAAAAATAAAATAATTTATAACCCAACCACTCAGGGGTAACACTTTGGAATTTAACCCCCGCCCCCACAACATAAGCATCTACACACATAAAAACATAATGTTACATTCAAGTTTTGGCCAAAAGTAACCTGAAGTTTTTTTGGGGTGTGTGTGCTTGGGATCAAATGCAGGGTCTATTTGTTAGGCAAGTGCTCTCCCACCGAGTCATAATCCCAGCCCTGAAACACTCCTACAAAGTCAAAAGGAACCAGGTGTGGTGATGCATGATTGTAATATCAAGACTCAGAAGACTGAGGCAGCAGGACTGAGAGTTAGAGGCCAGCCCGGAATACACAATGAGACCTTGTTTCAAAAAACCAAAAAAGCTGAGGATTTAGCTCAGTGGTACCTTGCCTGCCTTCCAAGCGCAAGGTCCTGAGTTTGATCCTTAGTACTGGAAAAAAAAAAAAAAAGAAATTAGGAAGGCAATTTTTTTTTTTTTTGAGACAGGGTCTTGCTATGTAGTTCAGGCTAGCCTTGAACTCACTATGGAACTCAGGCTGACCCTGACCTCAACAGTGATCCTCTTGCCTCAGCCTCCTGAATGCTGGAATTACAGGCATGCACCACCACACTCAGCCGAAAGCTAGTTCTGAGGCATCTGATCAGAACCACTTTCTAAACTACAAAAGCTTGCAGCTCACTCAGATCTGCTTCATGGTACCCACAGAGTATGTGAAAGACAAAATGCCAAAACCAAGGAGACGAAATCATCACAGCACCAAAGACAGCTAATGCCTGGTGAGCATCCTCATCAGACAGAATCACATGGGTGGACAGAATTAGGGTGGTGTGGCAACTCTATGGTATGGGTACCAAGGGCTCCGCATAATGTCAACTCACCATTTCTGGGGTGTTACTGAATCCAGATCGTTTAAGGTATATTTTATAATATATATACCTACTCAATACAGTTTAGTAACCTCTGCTTTTATTTATTTATTTATTTTGGTACCGGGGATCGAACTTGGATCCTTGCGCTTTCGAGGCAGGAGGCAGAACCACTGAGCTAAATCCCCGGCCCTACTTCTACTTTTATAAGGAATCCCTTTTTCCTTTTTTTTGGTGCTAAAGAGTAAACCCATAACCTTGTGCATGCGAGGACTCTTAGCACTAAGTTACATCTCAAACTACAACTTCCTGGCCCCCATTTTTTGTGTACAAGGATTGAGACCAGCCGCTCTACCACAGAGGTACAAGACAAGGTTATACTAAGTTATCCAGGCAGGACTTGAACTCAATCCTCATGCCTCAGTCTACCAAGTGATGTGAGTATAGGTGTGTGGCACTATGCCTTGCTATCTCTGTGCTTTTTAAAAATTTTGAGACATGGTCTTACCGAATTACCCAGGCTTGAACTTGCGATCTTTCTCTCAGCCTCCTGAGTAGCTGGGATTACAGGTGTGCACTACAATACCCAGCAGGAGTATGTCTAAAGCAGATCTGAGAAGACAATGCTTCAGACCAATGAGAGAGAGCTGGGCATGGCATCCTAAAGCTGACACAAGCCTGATGCTGCCCAGCGCTAAGTGGCCGAGGCCCTACCTCTCCCTGACTCACCCACCTGGTCAGTTTAATAGTGTTGTCAAGGGAAGCAGAGAGCAGCAAGCTTTTGGACCTCGTGCTGAAAGCCAGCCCACGGATCTGTTTGGTATGCATCGGGATATACTGACTGCTTTTCATGTTGGCAGTGCTCAGCATCTTCACACCAAAGCCTGCCAGAGAAGAGAGCACAGGACAGTTCAATAGAAACCAGGTTAGTTCAAAAGCAAACGAACTTGCTCCTTTGTTCACTTTTCTTGGCATTTAAGTTCCTGGGCAACGGCTGGCCAACGAGGACAATAAATAAAAACACACCTCCTAAATGTCTGTCAAGAGATGGATGAATAAATAAATCTATTGCATATACCAACGGTGGAATATTACCTAGCACTAAACAGGAATGAACTATTGATTTACACAAAATATGGATAACAAAAATGAATAAATGATATATGGTTCCATTTACATAAAATTCTAGAAAATGGAAACTAATCTTTAGTGACAAAAAGTAGATCAGTGGTTGCCCGAGGATGAAGAAAGCATAGGATAGGTAGAAAAAAATTATAAGAGGGTGTAAGAAAGTTTTAAGGATAATGTTTATTATCTTTTCCATTTCTTTCCTTTTTTCAGTACTGGGGACTAAATTCATGAGTGTTCTACCACTGAGCTACATCTGAGACCTTTTATTGTGAGGTCTTGCCAAGCTGCCCAGGCTGGCCTCTAATTTGCAATCCCTTTGCATCGGCCTGAGTGTGCCATGTGCCCAGGAATTACAGGGGAATTCCAGAGGTGTGTTGCAGTGCCTAGATTCATTACATATTGATCACTGTGATGCTTTCACAGTGTACGCAGTCAAAACTCATCAAATCGTATGCTTTAAATATGTATGGTTTATGTTAACTGTTATGAGATTCTGAGAATATTCGACCTGAAACATAGGTAGTCCACATGCAGAATGAACATGAATAGTAAAGAACTTTCTTTTTCTTTTTCCCTTCTCTCTCTTTCCTTTTTGTGTGGTACTGGGGATTGAACCCAGGGTCTTGATACTGAGCAACATCCCTAGCCCTTTGTTTTTTATTTTGAGACAGGACTTGACAAGTTGCTAAATTGCCCTGCCTGCTCAAATTTTCAATCCTCCAAGAATGCTAGGATTACAGGTGTTACTATGTTCTCTTATTATGTTCATTACTATGTTCTCTTACTATGCTATGCTAATATTTATTACTATGTTCTCTTACTAGGCTATACTAATATTTATTTTTTATTTATTTTTAGTAAGTATCAATTAGTTTCTGAGTTACTTAAATCCTAGGTTCAGGACAGTCTTGAAACACATTTCAGCTTCTGCAGACAGACAAGTAGGATAAAGTTCATTGTGTTTTCTGAAAAGAATGAGGAAAGACAGAGTGACCAATAAGGAGGTCCTAGGCTTTAAATCTAGGGACAGGAATACATGCTTACTCAGTCATTAAGAACAAGGACAAATTAGTACCAACAGTTGTCTAGAAGACCTATCTGGAACTAGAATAGACACACAGCATTAAGAAAAAAAGGGGGGCCAGGGATTTAGCTCAGTGGTTTTGCCACCTGCTGTAAGCTCAAGGACCCGAGTTCGATCCCTAGTACCAAAAAAAAAAAAAAAAAAAAGGGCCAGGGCCAGCTATTTAGCTCAGTGGCACCACACCTGCCTGGAAAGCACAAGATCCTGAGTTTGATCCCAGGTACCAAAAAAAAGGGGGGACAGCCAGGTGTGGCGGCACATTAGATGTGATAAAGAATGTTATAAACAATCCTTTTTTATCTGCTCAATATGGAACCGCCTCATAGACTCTCAGTTGGTAGCTATTATCACTAAACAAAGAAACATATGATTAATCTAGTGATTTAATACCCCAAACCTATACACACCTAAGTTTGGGGTGTATAGTACATAGTTTTGAAGTACTAAAATGTCTAAGTGGGGAAACAGGATATAGAGCTGAAGGAACCTCAAAGCTGGAATAAATCATACACTCCAGGGAGTAGAAACATCCCCAACATTTATGAACAATTTAATTTGGCTCGTCAGGACATTTGTTTTTTTTGTCTTGTTTTGTTTTTTGAGACATGGTCTCGCCATGCCTCCCCAGTGCTGGGATTAGGTGTGTGCCACCATACCTGGCTACCGACATTTGGTTTTCAACATTAAGGCACTCTACAGTTGCTTTAAATGCATAAAAGATTAGAGAAAAATCAGCATATTTATTAATATATTCTACAAGTTCTAACTTGGAGTTTGTCAGTTTGAACACTATTGGAAGTATTAAATTTTGTTTCTATTTGAATTAACCCTTGGAATAAAGAATGCCAAGTCTAGAACAAACTGGTAAAACGGATGGGACACACAGGGCCTTGCCCTTGTCCTTGGAGTACAGCAGTGACCCACAGCACGTTACCATCAGGATCAGTGAGTCGACTTTCCTAGTGAACCCGATGTCAGAATGAAGGCTACAGACATCCCAGTGGCACCTGAAGCACCTGTGTCAACGCTGAACCGAGGCAAGAGGGTGACGGTGCCTGTGGTCAGTGTTTATCCATTGCTAAGTCCTGGGTTCTTCGAAGAGGGAGAGAAGGGAAATAAACAGAGGAGAGTGGGACAAGGGACATGGCCACAAAGGCCCTGAAATGTTTACCCGGAAAGAAGGAAGCCTGAGGAGAAGGCTGCGAAACCACTAGGCAGCTCAGAGCGCCACCGTGGGCCATGGTGCGGCAGTTCCCCGTCTGGGACACAGCGAAGGCCTTCTGGAAGTGGTACTGATGCTGGCTCCGGCTGGCAGGCAGGGCGTTTGGGAAATGAGCACCGGGGCCCTTGCGCTGCCCTGAAACTGGACCCCGTTCCTGCGTAAGTTTTTGCAAGTCCTAAGATGAGAACAACTTTGTAAATGCAAAGCTTTTTCATTAACATTCCCCTCAAGAACATTATCTCAATCTAAGATTTCTTGTCTATTATATGAAAGTATTACCAAAAGTTCTAGAGAAGGGGAGTTTGTACAGTTTTTCCTTTTAAAGATAGGATCTTGCGGGCCGGGGATTTAGCTCAGTGGTTTCACCACCTGCTGAGCAAGTGCAAGGATCAGAGTTCGATCCCCGGTCCCCCCCCAAAAAAAAAAAAAATAGGATCTTGCTATGTAGTCCAGGCTGGCCTTGAGCTCACTATGTAGCCCAGGCTGGCCTCCAACTCTTGGCCATCCTCCCGCCTCAGTCTCCCCAGTGCTGGGATTACAGACGTGTGCCACCATGCCTGGCTCCCCAGCCCCACCCCTCTGGGTACCAGGGAACTCAGGACCTTATGCTTGCAAGGTAGGTGCGGTGCCACTGAGCTACATCCCTGGCCCTCCCCAGGCCCCCCAGCCCTTTTTTGAGACGATGTCTAAGTTGCTGAGTTGTCCGCACTGGGCTTGAACTTGATGTCCTCCTGCCTTAATGTGCCAGAATGGTCGGATTACAAGTATGTGCTTCCACACCTAACTTAATTTAAAAAAAATTCTGATTGCAGCCGGGTATGGTGGCACACGCCTGCAACCCCAGCATTCGGGAGGCTGCAGCAGGAGGATCACAGCAAGTTTGAGGCTGGCATGGGCTACATAGTAAGCTCAAGGCCAGCCTGAATTACATAGCGAGACTCTGTCTCAAAAAACCAAAAACAGGGCTGGGGATTTAGCTCAGTGGTTCCAACACCTGCCTCGAAAGCAGAAGGTCCTGAGTTCGATCCCCGGTACCAAAAAGAAAAAAAATTTTAGGGCCAGGGGTTTGGCTCAGTGGTTCTGGCGCCTGCCTCATAAGCGGAAGGACCTGAGTTCGATCCCCGGTACCAAACGAACAAAACAAAGCCAAAAACAACCCCCAAACAAAACAAAACAAAACACAATACACAATTCTGGTTGCAGGAGAATTCATCCTAAAGTGTTTTGGACAATCACTGTAAACAGAAAGAAAATGAATTGGTCATAATTATTTAATTAATTTGGCAGATCTTGTTTGTATTTGAGATGAACTTAAATAATACTTAGATTTCTCTTAAATTCTTTTTCTTTTGGGGGGGCTTGTTTTGGAGATTGAACCCAGAGCCTTACGCATTCTAAGTACACACTCTAGCACTGAGGTACATCCTAGTCTTCCTCCTCCTAATTCTGATTCCAGGTCTGAGTTGAAGGTCACACTCACCTGGACACAAGTGCGAAGTCTACTGCATTCCTCAGTGAGGACCTGAAGCTGGAGCCGGCACTGTGCAGATTCTAACTCGGCCTGCTTCCTTAGCATTTGCTCCTTCACTAAGGCACTGGAATGGGAAAGCCAGCAACAGGTAGGGATTAGCAAGCCTTCCCATTGAGCTGGGGGAGTAAGTTCACTGTGTCACACATACTGTGTGGTAAATACATCATGATAGCGGATAAAACATAAAGAGAGAAAAATCTCTCCAGTCTAGAAACACTACAGGATAGCAGCAGGCAGGGCTGAACTCAGGAGCCTGCCTGGGCTTTGAAATTCCAGCAAACACTGATGGCCAGGATGTGACTCCCACCAGGGAATGAGCATTAAAAGAACCATAAGTAAAAAGAAAAAAAAAAAAAAGGGCCAGGGATTTAGCTCAGTGGTTTCGCCGCCTGCTGTGCAAGCACAAGGACCCAAGTTTGATCCCCGGTACCAAAAAAAAAAAAGAAAGAAAGAAGAAGAAAAAAAAAGAACCATAGGTAAAGGAAGGAATACAGCCAACTCACTCCTTGAGCTAAGGCAATTACAAAAGATTAAATTTGTAAAAAGTTTATTTGCTTAATTAAAATAATAACCCATTGGTTAGCTGTTCATGAAATACTCAAGTTAAATAACATCAAAATAGGGCTGAAGTTAAAAAAAATATATAGTAGGGGTTGGGGATTCAACTCAGTGGCAGCACGCCTGCCTCAGAGGCATAAAGTCCTGAGTTCGGTCCCCAGTACCAAAGGAAAAAAAAGTATATAGTAAGCAAATGCTAACAAAAGAATGAGCAATTAGAATTAAGGCAAAAAGAATAACAGGCATAAAGAGGGATAATATATAAGAAAAGGACACATTCACCAAGAGTAACAATTATAAATGTGTATGTACCTAAAAATAGTTTCAAAATACGAAACACAAAAAACAAAAAACAAGGATATAATTCTACTCCAATGAAATTGGAAAGGAAAAAGGTAATGAAAATTAGAAAAGAGCAAGCTGGCTCTTGTTACCTTTGCTGCCTTGTGTGCCATGTTGTTTTTGCTTTGCCATGCCTGTTTGTTGTTCCTGGCTTGGAGTTGTCTGATTATGGACTGAAAGCTCTACAAACTGTAAGCCAAATAAACCCCTTCCCCTTCCGTGTATTTTTTTTTTTTTCGTACCGGGGATCGAACTCAGGTCCTTGCACTTGCGAGGCAGGCGGCGGAACAACTGAGCTAAATCCTCGGCCTCCCTTCCCCTTTGAGTGTCTGGTATTTTGTCTCAGGAACGAGAGAAAAGTAACTAACATAGAAATTTGGTACCAGAGAAGTAGGGTCGTTGCTGTGACATTACTTGGTTATTCGGGTCAAAAGCCTTTGGAACTGGCTTGTGGAAAGAACAGTTAGGAAAGATGCAGAGACGCCAGGTATAGAAACAGCTCTGGAAACCCTTAGGTTGTTCTATGTGGGAGATTCTGGTCAGAGCTCAGAAGACCTGAAAGCTGGTAGAAACCAGGCTCAAGAGGTTTCTGCTGGGAAGGGCTGCACTGGCTTAGCAGAAAGTTTGTCTGCATTTTGATCATGTCCAGAGACTTTGCCTGAGACTGAGATTAAGGGTAAGCGTAAGGAACCAAGTCTGAAAGAAAAAGCTGGGTGGTAATGTATGCCTGTAATCCTAGCACTCGGGAAGCTGAGGCAGGACTTAATTCAAGGCCAGCCTGGACTACATAGCAAGACCCTGTCTCAAAAACAAAAAAAAGGAAAAAATAAAGCTGCCTTCATTTATTTTCACAGACAATTCAAGAGAACCTACAAATTACAGTTCAGCAAGCCTGCTGGAATCAAGAATAAGAAAATCAGGGGCCGGGGATTTAGCTCAGTGGTTCTGCCACCCGCCTCAAAAGCACAAGGTCCCGAGTTCAATCCCCAGTACCAAAAAAATAAAAAAATAAAATCAGATCAGCAGGGTATGGTGGCCTGGTTCCTGGATCTCAGCTACTCAGGAGGACCCTGAATTTGAGGACAGCAGGGGTAACAAAACAGACAAATATAAGAAAATCAGGTGAACAACATTCCCCATGAACCAGATAACTCATTCGTAAATGTAAGAGGAAAAAATTCATTCCCCACATTAATTTTAACAACAATCCAGGAATAAAATCAAAGCATATAAATGACTTTTATAAGCATGCTGTATATGTTCAGGGAATGAAAGTTTCATGGAGATGGGACTTCTCAAATTAATGTAAGGAATTTAATGCAGTTGCAATAAAAATCCCAAACGATTTTTGTTTTCTTTTTGCAGCGCTGGGGCCTGAACTGCCAGTGTTAGGCAAGCATTCTGCCACTGAGCTACAGACCAACCTGATTTTGCCTTTTCAGCACAAAGAAATATTTGTTGGAGCAAATGAGTAAACACAAATAAAGAGGAAAATTAAAATAAGTTGTGAAAACCTTAAGTCTTTTCCAGTTTATAAAAAAACCCAATCAAAATAATAATATGCTTTCCTGTATTATGTGTTTTTTGTTTTGTTTGCTTGAGAGAGCACCTTGCTATATAGTCCAGGTTAGTCTGGAACTCACAATGATCCTCCTTCCTCAACCTTAGTGCTGGATTGACAGGCAAGTGCCAGGACACCAGACATCAGTTTTAATGAATGTATAGTATTCCAGCACATGGATATGCCACAGTTCACTCAACTAACTCCTTTGGTCTGGATTATTAATAATGCTAAACCAAGTTTCATTAAATAAACTGTTGGACGTATCCTTGTGGTTTTAAGGACAAATGCCTGAAATGGAATTATCAGACATATCTGTACACATGACTACCAGTAGAATATGAGAATCACACCTCTGCAACTCTCAAAATGATGGATATTTTCATTCTTTAACATTCTTTTTTTTTTGGCATTGGGAATCAAACTCATGGCCCTGCACTTGCCAGGCAGGTGCTGCGCTGCTGAGCTACATTCCCAGCAACATCCTTTTTTTTTGTTTCTTTTTTTTGGTACCAGGGATTGAACTCAGGTCCTTGCGGTTGTGCAGCAGGCACCAAAACCTCTGAGCTAAATCCCCTGCCCCCCAGCAACATTCTTAAAGGATATTTTAAGTAATGTTATTAGCAACTGCTCAGGGTCTACAAAATCTTGATTTTTTTTTTTGTATTGCACACACAAACTTCACTTACAAGTCACCTGTGAATAGATAAGAGCTACTGTATGTGGGTTTAGGATCATGAAAAGCAAAAATGGCAACAGTGAAATAAATGTGCCAGATACTCTTTTTTTTTTTTTTGCGATGAAGTCTCACTCTGCTACCCAGGCTGGTCCTGAACTTTTGGGCTCAAGTTATCTTCCTACCTCAGCCTCCCAAGTACCTGGGACTACAGGAGCATGTCACTGTGCCCAACTCCAAATTCTCATTTTTAATGTTATATGGAGACAAACCATTCAGATTGCCCTAAGAGGATGATCAGAAATGAATTATGAGTAAGTGTAAAGCCAGGCTGCAATGATCCCCAGAGATCCCAAGTCACAGGTAGTGAAGTGTCAGACCCACACTAAAACTGGACTCCTTTTTTTTTTTTTTCTTGAGACAAGGTCTTGCTAAATACAGCTCACGCTGGCCTTAAAATGGCAATCTGCCTGTCTCAGCCTGAGTGCTGGGATTACAGGCATGCGCCACCACATCTGGCCTGGACACCTACTTTCTTTTTCAGAGCTCTGCATGGAACTAAAAGGGAACACTGCAGCTAGACTCTTACCACCTACCTTTTTACACGTTCCTGTTCATTAGTGTCCAACGCTCTCAGGGTTCGGGCATAAAGGACAACAATGTCATTGTGCTTGGCCTTCTTGTTGCACTACAGATTCAATGGGACAAAATTAATGTGACTGTACGAATTTAGACTTAACATGTTAGGTCTTTACTATGGTCCTTACCTGGGGACACTTCCGTGTTTGCCCTTTGAGCCACTTAGAAATGCATCTGTATCCAAAGAGATGGCCACAGCGTAATGCCGAGAGCCGGTGGTCCCCAGCACTGGTCCACTGTTCAAAACATATTGTACAAATGTCCCCCTCTTCTTCTTCATCCATGGAAGCAGTATTCAGAGGAGTGCTGGGCTTCTGGGGAGACTGTTGGATGAAAATTGGAACAGATTCAAAGAGAAAATGCATAATCAGGGCCCAGGAACATAGCTCAGTGGCACAGCACCTGCCTGGCAAGTGAGAGGTCCTGAGTTTGACTCCTGGTACCAAAAAAAAAAGAAAGAAAGAAAAAAGAAAAGAAAAGAAGGGCCTAGGATTTAGCTCAGTGGTTCCACCACATGCCTCTCAAGTGCAAGGTACTGAGTTCGATCCCCAGTACCAAAAAAAGAAAGAAAGAAAGTGCATAATCAATCTCGATGGGGAGGTTATTATTTCTTTTTTTGGAACCAAGGATCAAACTCAGGACCCTGTGCTTATAAGGCAGGCGCAGTGCCATTGAGCTAAATCTCTGGCCCGAGGTAGGGAGTAATTATCAAATTAACATAAGTGCACAAAAATCATACAAACCTAATTGAAATGACTGCGAGAAAACTGCAACACCATAAAGCACTTGTAATTTTTTTTCTAGAATAAATTCCGGCAAAATAAAGTATAAGCAATGAGATTTTTTTTTAAGTGCTGGGGATTGAACCAGGACCTTGTATGCTAAGCATCCACACTATCACAGAGATACATCCTAGGAACACTACTTTTTGATTTTATGAAATCCTTGGGTATTTTTTCCTTCATTCAAATAAAGCAGCTACCTGTAGAAAGATATTTTTAAAATACCTTATCAACTACCAAGACCATCAACAACAGAGACCAGTAGGTTTGTTATACATTTAAAATTAGGTTATCAACTCAGATATGCCTAGGTGGTGATGACCAAGAACCACTGAGGATGACAGAAATGGCCATGCTTATATATTATTGACGTAAAGGTAACACTGCACACATTTCAGGGCGGCAATTTGTTTTTTTGAGACAGGGTAGCCCAGGCTTGCCTCAAACTCACAGCAATCCTCCTGCCTCAGCTTCCTGAGTGCTGGAATTACAGATGTGTGCCACCATGCCCGTCTTAATTGGTCTTAGCTATAAGGAAAACACATGTGTTTTTCCTTTGACACAATCTTTCTACTAGAATTACTGCATACCCCATCAATATAATCACAAATATTTGCTAAGACAATTGTACAAGGATGTTCAGTGCAGCATGATTTCTATCAGAAAAAAAAAAGAAACAATCATGATGCATATGACAATGGAAGGGTTAACTAAAATGTATTTCTATGATGGAACACAATGCAGGTATTACATGACTCAACTTTCTATGTACTGGGGGCCGGGGATTTAGCTCAGTGGTGCCACCACCTGCCTTGCAAGCATAAGGTCCTGAGTTCGATCCCCAGTATCAAAACAAAACAAAACAAAAGAACTTTAAATGTACTGACTGCAATGCTCTCCAGGATGTAATACACTGGGAATAAATAAGCCAGACTCAGAACAAGATACTGTATAATATTTTATTTACCTTTTTTTTGCAGTCCTGAGAATTGAATGTTCCCACTATTATTTTTTTCTTTTGAGACAGGGTTTCACTTAGTCCCTAAGTTGCCAAGGCTGGGCTGCTCCTGCCTCAGCATCTGAAAGTGCTGAGATTACTGGTATGGATCACTATGCTTGGCTGAGTATAATTATAATTTTTTTGGAGGTACTAGGGATCGAACTCAGGACCTTGTGCTTTCAAGGCAGGTGGTGGCACCACTGAGCTAAATCCCCAGCCCTTAATTGTTATTTTTTATTTTATTCATTTATTTTTGTGTGGGGGGCGTTTTTTGGCACCAGGGATCAAACTCAGGTCCTTGGGCTTACAGGGCAGGCCGCAGAACCACTGAGCTAAATCCCTGGCCCTGTTATTTTTTAAAAATAAGTTGTTACAGGGCCGGGGATTTAGCTCAGTGGTTTCACTGCCTGCCCTGTAAGTGCAAAGACCTGAGTTTGATCCCCCGTACCAAAAAAAAAAAAAAAATCAAAAATAAGTTGTCATCACATAGTACAAACACTCTGCTCAACAGTTTATAAAGCACACTGATTATCTGTTTTTATCTTTTTTTTTTGGTACTAGAGATTGAACTCGGGTCCTTGCACTTGTGCAGCAGGCAGCGAAACTACTGAGCTAAATCCCCGGCCCAATTATCTGTTTTTTTCAATTGACACTTAACCTTGGTAGATAGACAGACAGGTTATCTTCAAACACCTCAGCCTTTTTAAGCATAAGAGAAAGCAGTCACAGGAACAAAGAGTAACTGGGATAGGAACCACACCTGGATCTTGTCTACAAAACCTGAAAGTTTCTATTTTATTTATTTATTTTGGTACCAGGGATGGAACTCAGGACCTTGTGCTTGTGAGGCAGGTGGCAGCACCACTGAGCTAAATCCTTGGCCCTAAAAGTTTCTATTTTAACCTGTAGCCTCCTTTAAAATGAAAATCCACATTGGCACATGCCTATAATCTCAACTAAGATCCTGAGACAGAAGGATTCCAACTGTGAGGCCAGCCTGGCAACTTATTTCAGTGGCAATGTGCTTGCCTGGCATAATGAGCCCCTGGGTTCAATCCTCAATACCACACACACACACACACGCACGCACCAAACTTTCACTTAAAAAGGGCCAGGGATGTAGGGCACAGGGCCCTGGTTCAATCTCCAGCATCACTGCTAAAGGAGTAGGAGGATGTTCACATTACCTCTTTGGTGAGGGTCTCATCTTGGCTAATATGTGTAACTTCTTGCTCTGCTGAGACATCTCCTCGTTGTTCTGCCAAGTTGTACACAGAAATGACAGGAGAGATAATATTCAAAAGAAGACAAATTAGTAGGGGACGCTAGAAGAACGCCTAATTCAGTGCAGCTCTATTTCTAAGGGGTGGTGTTCCTGGCAAAAGGGGTAACAATTGCCCCAAGTAGCATCAATGAATTCATTATTATTATTTTACTTATTTGGCTAGCCAGTCTGCCTGCCTGCCTGCCTGGCTGCCTTCCTTTCTTAGTATCTGGGATCAAACTCAGGACCTTGCGCTTTCGAGGCAGGCATGGCACAACTGAGCTAAATCCTCGGCCCTTTTTTTTTTACCATTAATCAGTATGTTGGATTATTCTTTCTGTTTTGTTGTCATATTTTTTATTTTTTTTTTTGAGACAAGGTCTCACTATGTAGCTCAGACTGGCCCAAACTCATGGCAATTCTCCTGCCTCAGCCTCCTCCCAAGGGCTGGAATTCATCTGGCATATTTTATGTATTTTGGATATTTTCATAAATGAAAGCAGACAGAATAGTGAACTCACAAGTACCCATCACCCAAATAAAAAAATAACCAACCGGGCCAGGGATTTAGCTCAGTGGTTCCGCCACCTACCTCGCAAGCACAAGGTCCCGAGTTTGATCCCTGGTACCAAAAACAAAACAAAACAAAACAACCCTAACATTTTACTAATGTTGTTTCAAGCCTCCATTCCATTGTTTTATTTCAACAAACTCTAAAAATTTCATATTTTTAAAAAACTTATGCAAGGCCAAAAAGAATTCTTTTTTTTTTTTTGGTACCAGAAATTGAACTCGGGTCTTTGCGCTTGTGCAGCAGGCAGTGAAACCACTGAGCTAAATCCCCAGCCCCAAGAATTCTTTTTGTTCCATACAAAGTATCATTAATACAACTGACAAAATAAAGAATCTTTTAACACCATCTACTACTCAGACATCCAGTTCATATTGAAAATTTCCCAGTAGTGTTAAAGCTGCTCTTGCCAGGCATGGTGGCACACCCCTGTAATCCCAGCAGTCAGGAGGCTCAGGAGAATCTCAGGGAGTTCAAGGCCACCCTGGGCTACAAAGTGAGTTCAAGGCCAGCCTGAACTACATAGGGAGATGGTTAGAAAAATCAAAAAATTGCTGTAGTCCCAGCATTTGGGAGGCTGAGGCAGGAAAATTGCCATGAGTTCCAGGCTAGCCTGAACTATATATAGCAAGACCTTGTCTCAAAAAGCCACAGAAGGGCTGGGGATTTAGGTCAGTGGTTCCACTACCTGCCTTGCAAGTACAAGGTCCTGAGTTAGATCCCTGGTCCAAAAAAAACCCCCAAAACCCCACAGAAAAGTTAAAAAAAAAAAAAAGGGTGCTCTTCATAGTGGATTTATTCCCATCAGAATCCTTTAAAAAGGTCTCCAAAGTGAGCTTGACTGTTGTGTCTTTAGTCTTTCTCATGCCATTACAATTCGTCTTCACTTTTTCTCCTTGTCATTGATTTGTTGGGGAAATCTGGTCATTTGCCTTATGATATCCCCTGCATTCTGGATTTGGCCAATTGCTTCCTCAGGATATTATTTAACTACTATACACAGTAAATTCACAGCAGGCAGCTACCACCATAATCTAATTTAAAACATTTCTAGGAGCAGGGTGGGATTTAGCTCAGTGGTGGTGTTGCCTGCCTTGCAAGCGCAAGGTGCTGAGTTAGATCCCCGGTACCACAAAAAAAACCAAAACAAAACATTTCTAAGATCCTGGTAGTGGTGAGGAACTAGAGGCCCTGCCTCTCAAGAGGTTGAGGCAAGATCACTTCAGCCCAAGAATTCAGGGTGAGCCTGGGCAGCATAGTGAGACACATTCCATAAACAAAATCAAACTGTCCCCAGCTCTTTTTTATCATTAAGGATCTTGCTAAATTGTTAAGCTGATTTGGCTGGGCTTGAACTTGTGATCCTCCTGCCTTGGGCTCCCAAGTGCTGGGATCCCAGGCATGCGCCACCATGCCTGGCTTTTTTCCTCTCCTTTCCTCCCTTGCCTTTCCACTGTCAGCTTTTGGTAAGTTTTTAACGTAAGCAGGGTATCTGCATTAGAGGCCTTAGAGGTCTGTACTCACTCCTGAAGTTCCACTTACACAGTACAAAACATGATATGAGAACTCAAAACTAACAGCTCTGACAAGGTGCTGAAATTTAAAAAATTTTAAATAAAGAATCTACGTTTTTCTCTGATGTGTAACAAAAGGGAATGTCAAATGCCATTAACAAGAATCGCTGGGACACAAATCACATCAAACAGCTTTGTGGCTGTTAGTCTTGTGAGCACAACCTGGCTGCTACTGACCTTCTACAGCAACAGCTCTGGGTTCCTCTGCCTGGACAACTTCATACTCTGCAGAGTCGTCACTGTCGGAATCAGAACTACCTGACTCCTGTACGTCTTCAGAGACTGGATTCCTAATCTGTGAATTGTAAGAGGTGGCTGGCAAGTGGGGCTGGCTCCTGCTCACCTGAAAGTAAGCATCCAATGGTGTTCTGGACCTACACACGCAGAAAGAGAACACAAACAGAATTACAGCGCAACTGACCATCATCAAAAGAAACCTAGAGTCATTTGGAGGTAAATCCTAGTCACTTCAATCCATTTCCAAGACATTAAATGCTAACTTTAAAAACAAGGGGGGAACAGGGGGTAGTGTCCCACACTTGTAATCCCAGCTACTTTGGAGATGGAGGCAGGTGAATTCCAAGTTCAAGACTAGCCTAGGTAACTTAGTGAAACTATCTCAAAATAAAGATGAAAAAAAAAAAGGGCTGGGGATGTAGCTTAGTAGTATGTGTTTGCCTAGCATGTGTGTGACCTAAATTCCCTGTAACGCATCAGAGGTTTTTTTGAAATCTCTATGAAGATCTCATTCCTCAGATTTTCCTTTTATGATTTTTGGCTAGTCTATCGTTCGCTCTACTGAGTATGTGTGCATGGTTTTTGGTTTTGTTTTTTTTTTTTGGTACCAGGGATTGAACTCGGGTCCTTGCACTTGTACAGCAGGTGGTGGAACCACTGAGCTAAATCCCCAGCCCCCTACTGAGTATGTACTGCCTCAGGCAGGACCTAGGGAAAAACATTAAATTTTTTCTTTTTTGGACCAGACTGAGTCACAGCCTTGCAAGTGGCTGGGCACCACCAGATAAGTCACATTAAGAACATTCCTTAGGAATAGCAAGGTTTTGAAAGAGTGCCAATCCATTCTGTTCCAAATGGCGGCTGCCAGGCTCCTGCTGGCTTTCATGTGACTGCAGGTAGTTTTCAAGACTCCCAGGGAGCTGGAGAAGGGGATGGGAATACAGAAAGCCACAAAACAGACTCAACTGCTTTTCTTTTACTCCCTGGATTACAAGCATTTGGTTAATTTTGAGAGTTCTGAAAAAGTTGATCCTGTCAGGTTTTGCCAGTTGTGTGTCCTCTCCCCCTGCCCCTCAGCACCACTCTGGCTTTTTTGAGACAGGGTCTCACTATGTAGTTCACGCCGGCCTTGAGCTTATGGCAACCCTCCTGCCTTAGCCTAACGAGTGCTGGGATTACAGGCATGCAGCACCACACCAGGCAGTTTCACTGTTCCTTTCAAATTTTTATTATTTAAGGAATTTTACATATAATTCCTTCAATACTCATCAAGGTCACTATAGTGAGGTTGTCTTCAAGAAAGCCCTATTTAAAAGAACTGATGCTTAATCCAGTCATCCTATCTGCCCACAATTCATTTTTTTTTTCTTTCTGGTATTGGGGATCAAATTCAGGACCTTAAGTCTTCGAGGCAGGTGGCGGCACCACTGAGCTAAATCCCGGGCCTCTGCTGACAATTCTTTATCTCCACTTGAATCATGGACAATGACAGTTTCAAAACTCCTGGGATCTTAGATCCAAATTGCTTCTACCAATTTATACTTTCGGAGCCTAGGATTTGAATTGTACAAAGTATTGGTATTTTAGCACATGATCTAGATTACTTCTAATATTGAAAGTCAACACTTTTAATTACTCTTTTTTTTTTTTGGTACCAGGGATCAAACTTGGGTCCTTGCGCTTGCAAGGCAAGCAATGGAACCACTGAGCTAAATCCCTGGCCCACTTTTCATTACTCTTAAGCAAAATGTTACAGGCTTCAGTACTGCATTCTAACTGTGATGGAACCATGAGCTGTGTCTCCATTTTAGCCACACTAACCAATCCTGAACATCAATCAACAGTGCCCACTCTAATGTAGAATGAGGCATTAGTTTCACTGTTTTTGTCTATTTGTTTTTGCTTTTGGTACCAGGGCTCAAACTCAGGACCTTGCACTTGCCAGGCAGGTGCGGTACCACTGAGCTATAACTCCAGCCCATAGTCACTGTTTTAAGGAGCCAATTTTCTATGATCCTTACTATGTCATTTTTGGTATCACTCACACTTTCTTTTTTCTTCCTTTTTGAGACAGGGTGTCAGGGTGCAGTTCAGGTTGGCCTTGAACTGGCTATGTGGCCCAAGCGGGCCTTAAATTAATGCTCCTCCTCCCTCAGCCTCCTTGGGTGCTAGGATTACAATGTGCACAGTGGCCCAGGTTCTTTTCACAAAGATGCTAAGCAAGTTTACCAACTTGTTAAAAAAAAAAAAAAAAGTTTACCAACTTGTTTTTGGAGATAGTGAGTAAACAGTAGTCACAGCTACAAGAACCAATGCAAATGAATAGCATTTTGTGCCAGACATGGTGGAACACACCAATAATCCCAGCACTCTGGGAGGCTGAGGCAGGAAGACTGAGTTTGAGTCCAGGCTTGGCAATTCAGCCACATCCTGCCCAGGGGTGGGGGTGGGGTGGAGGCCAGGGATGTAGTTCACTGTAAAGGCCCTGAATTCAATTCACAGTAAAAAAAAAAAAAAAAAAAATTCCTAAGAACATGTCAGTCAAATTAAATACATATAAAAGTTAGACTAGGCTAATAGGCTAAGTTTAGGCTACTGATAAAAAAAATTAAGTATTTAAAAAATTCTGTAATTTTTGCTTTTACATAGCAACATTAGCATTTCCAGGGTCAGGTGGGGACACAGAAAGGGAACCAAGAAGAACAAGAGGTAGTGTTAAGGTTTCTCAGAACCCAAGAAATTTCCTCCTCTGCACTTAGCATCTCTGGATTACATGATGTATTTTGCTCTTATCTTCTACAGTCTTAAGACTCCCCACATGTCATGGCAACAGACTCTCTGATTTGTCCTGTTCTCCAATATACCTCCAGGGCAAAGTTCAGTCTCATACAGCGGAGAGTTGTAAATATTTAACGACTGACTGATGACTGGCAGCCAGAATCAAGCAGCTCCAAAGAGAAAGGAGAGGAGTCTGTGGCTGCCCAAGAATCCTGTTAGGGAGAATAGCTCACTTGGGCCAGGGATTTAGCTCAGTGGCACTACGCCTGCCTTGAAAGCACAAGGTCCTGAGTTTGATCCCTGGTTACCCTCCTCCTCCCTGCCCAAATAGCTCACTGACTTTCTCCAAATTTGGCTTCTTAGCTCAGTCTGGAGGAAAAACTATTCAACTTGGCCCTGTTTCTTGACACCTACCTGGCCCAGAGATAGTCTGTCAGTGAGTAAATAGCAGATGTCATATTGAGATATTGTTATGGTAAAGTTGTCCACTGCAAAGATGGAGAAGAGGAGAACCTGGCTGCTGACATGGACAGGACAACTTTTAGAAAAGATGGCCTGAGGACATCACAAGAACAAGCAGCACTCCAGTTTTTGCAGCCTCAGAAATACAAAGGTGAGGGCCAGGGATGTAGCTCAGTGGTGCCGCGCCTGGCTGGCAAGCGCAAGAACCTGAGTTTGATTCCCAGTACTGGAAGAATAAAAAAGTGCAAAGGTGAAAGACTTTGCTGGCTTTCACCTAGATGGCTTCCACCTTTTCTAGGTGTCTTCACCTAGATGAAAAACACTTGGGAGGCCAGGCAACAAAGAGGGCAGTGTGTGAAGCCGTGAGTGTGAAGCCAAAGGTGCAGTGGAGACCCCAGAAGGCTGGAGAAGCCAGGAGTATGGATCACCTGAGGAAAACTGCAAGGAGTGACCAAAGCTGGCCAAAGAGAGAAGCCATGGGGGCTACTAGACATGCTGTAGGGGTGGACCCAACCTTCTGAAGTTTACAACGTGCCACAGAATGCGCCAGATGCTGGACATGGAGCTACAGCTAGGGATTGCCCTACTGGATTTTGGTCTTGCTTTGTTCTTATTCCTTTCTATCCCCTTTTATACCTTTTGGAATAGAAATGTCTATTTGTGCCATTGTATGATAGAATTAACTTTTCTTTTCATTTGTACAGGCTCTCACGCTAAAAGTTTGTCTTAAATCTCAGAAGACTTTAGTTTTTTGTTTTTGTTCTTTTTTTTTTTTTGGTATGGGGATCGAACTCAGGACCTTGCGCTTGTGAGGCAGGCAGCAGCACCACTGAGCTAAATCCCCAGCCCCTGATTCTACATATATCAAGGAATTTTCTGATGAAAGTACCCACTATGTGTATCACATTAAGTCAAGAGAATTTGGACAAAGCCATCCTCTATAGAAACTTGCTATCAAACTTACTAAAACTGCTTCCTTCCAGTTTTCTAAGCATATCAGGTAACTTATACCCTCTATTACTTAGTAAACCAGGGAAACACTTTTATGTGTCTTATAAGGAAAGGAGGCTCAGAAAAGCTATCCTTGAGCCAGGTGAAAAGGTACAAGCCTGTAATCCCAGCACTGAAGAGGCTGAGCCTGGACCGTAAGTTCAAGCAACACCCTATCTCTAAAAAGGAGAGCAAAAAAAAGTTATTCTTGGCATCCCTAGGGTATGACCAGTTTCCTAATTCCTGCAATGCACCATAGAACTTGTACACATATTTACCTGGCATTGTCTGTCCTCTGGGATGCTCCAGCTCTAACCCTACGTGAAATGCGCCCCCTCCTTCTTGCTCTCAGTGGCCCCACACTGTGGTCTGAAGGCGGAGGCCTCAGGAATTCCAGCATGCCATGAAGTCTCTGCAGACCACTGATGAAGCTGTTCATTGACATTAGTGAGGGTGTTTGGACAGGGTGGTTAGCATCAGATTCCTGCCGAGGCTCCCCTGAACTTCCTGGATTGATGTTCTCCACATTCTCTTCTAAGTGTTCTACTTCCTCCGTCAGGTCAACTGGAGCAGGCTGGAGCACAGGGGGTCCCCCTTGACTGCTGGCCACTTGAGGAAGAGGCTGGAGGAGAGGACCCTCTTGGGTGTTAGCCACTCGAGGAGGAGGAGGAGGAGGAGGAGGGGGAGGAGGAGGAGGAGTGAGCAGAGGCAAATCCCGGGCGGCGGGGCAGGGGACCTCTCACCTGGCAGCACTGGGCCAGCACCTCCACCTCCTGTCCCTCAGGGCAGTTCGTGCTGCCCACCCACACCTACCACCTAGGCCACCTGCCTGCCCTCTCTGGACACCAAGAAGCTGGGGAAAGTGGCCGCCCCTGTCACGAGCAGGTGCAAAAGCCCCCAGGTCTCAGCGTTCCGAGCTGGGGCTTTCGGAACCCGACTGGATCATGGGGCTGGAAAATGAGGGCATCATCTGGCTGACAGGTGGGGCTGCCTGTGCAGGGCCAGGGTGTCCAGGGAGGGAAAGCCCAGGCGGGGTCTGCAGGGCGCTGGACGGGCCGCGGATGTGCACTCCTGTGGGGAAGGTGGCCTCGGTCCCTGGTCTCACACAAGCTTCTGCTGCAGGAGGAAGTGGCCGGACTCCAGGTGCCCGGAGACCCTGGCACAGGACCCAGGTTCCCTTCCCTTGGGCTCCTGGAGCAGTCCTGGCCTGGGCTGAGGCTCCACCCCAGCCAGGCGGGTGGGCCAGGGTGTCCCCGAAGGGCCTCCGGGCCAGGACCCGGGCTTTGGGGAATGCAGCTCGCGCCTTTTCTCTCGTGACTTCACACTGGCACTCCAGGAGTTTGTGGCCTGTTTCTAGCACCGACCCAGACCCAGCCAGTGGCAGCTGCACCAGAGCCAGGCCCA